AGGCTGGTTTCGAACTCCTGAGCTCAAACAATCCGCCCACCTCAGCCTCCCAGAGTGCTAGGATTACAGGCGTGAGCCACCGCGCCCGGCCCTAAACATATTTTTTTAAATAACTATTATATGAGTTACAACTTGACCATATTCCTATTCATATAGTTCCATGCTAACTATATGAATATAGTTATATAAATATATTTATATTTTAAGAAAATATGTTTAGCTTTAATACTATTAGTTTGCTAGATTTATATGCTATACTCTAATAAGAAGGCATTCATAATCTCTCAGAGATACTGATCCTAACTGTTCATGCCTGCTGCCAATCCTCATTCTCCCTTTTAGTGAATAAAATAAAATTTCTGATAGTCTTATAAGGGAAGTCCTATAAATCTAAAAGAAACAACCTTTCCTGAGGTGGTTCTCCCAGCTTTTTAGGCACATGTGCAACATTTGATCTGTTCTCTTGACTTTCGTTAAGTTCTCTAATAATTTGTTCACAAACAAAATAAAAAATAACATTCAATTTAAAGTTTTAACTATAATTTCAAAACAAAAAATAAAAACCAGTTTGTACGGAGATGCTTATGACAGCATAATTGATATTAGTGAAACATTGAAAAGCCAGGTGTGATGGTACATGTCTGTAGTACCAGCTACTCAGGAGGCTAAAGTGAGAGAATCACCCGAGCCCAGCAGTTTGAGGCCAGCCTGGGCAACAGAAGGAGATCCTACCTCTTAAAAAACAAAAAAAAAGAGAATAAAAAGAATCCCAAAACACAAAAAGGAAACAGTCAAGCAAACTACGGTATATTGCAGAGTAAAGTAACAACCATGTAAGATTATGCCTATATAGAAATGTTTAAATTGCAGAAAGTAATAAAAAAAGGCAAAACTTATATAAAAATATCACAGCTGTGTAAAAAATATATGTATAGTAAATAAGAGAATTAGTAGTTTTATAAACTTAAACTTTAATGATTCTTTTTAAACTGATTACCTTCTTAATTTTTTTAAGTAAGTTGACATTCCAATCATGAACATCTTCCCAATACTCCCAAAGCTATTTATTACATGATCATTATAAAGAATATGTGAAAACATGTTCAACTTACTTGTCTATTTTCCTCTTTTTGTAAAGATGGAAACTGAACTTGAGGCAATGTTATCTCCTTAATTTCATCATTGTCTCTTAATCTATAAAGCCTGTTCCATAATTTAAATTCCTCTTCTGATAAGAACCAATCTTTCTTTGAGTTACTTTGCTTCATTCCTGCAATTTGAAAAAATAATTGAAAAGAGGTTAAAAAAAATCTGGAAGGCAAATACAAAATATCAACCCAAACTCTCTACTTGTTTATGTCTACTCACCTCTGCTACATCACTGATTCAACTTCTTAAAACTAGCGTTCTTCATATAAAACCCCTCAGTTTATCACTTCTAGCTTCTATATATCCCCATTTCCCTCACCTCTTTGAAAGTACCCTTTCTGTCTATGAGATATTCTTTGGTAATTACTTCATTAACAGAACAGGGCCAGGTAGCTAGGCTTACAGTCCTGGCTTCTTTTGGACTCTCTCCATTTTGCCGTTTAAGAAACAGCAGGAAACAGGGTCAGATAACTTACAAATGAAAACCAGTATCATGATTCTATCCTAACAGTATTGGAAAGTTCATCTGAGGCTTGAGGTGGGGGAAAAAAGGCCAAGACTTTTAAAAATGGTTTTTAGCTTAAGTCTTAAAGGGAAGGGTGGGAAGAAGAGGAGTAAAGGAAAGTGGGAACAAACCTGTTGCTTTAAAAAATGAAAAAATAAGCCGGGTGCTGTGGCTCATGCCTGTAATCCTAGCACTCTGGGAAGCCAAGGTGGGAGGATTGCTTGAGCTCAGGAGTTCAAGACCGGCCTGAACAAGAGTAAGATCCCTTTCTCTACTAAAAACAGAAAAATTAGCTGGGCGTCATGGTGTGCGCCTGTAGTCCCAGCTACTCGGGAGGCTGAG